GATGTCAATTTATTAAAGGTATACTTTATTGGAGGGTAAAAATGTCCAGTCAAGGAAGGTAGATCTATGAGCACATGGCATAAATATGGTTTAAGCTGTCTATAAAAGAGGGAGGTGTACAATATCACCAAGCTACTCAATAATGTGAAGATATCCAAGGGAAAATAATACTACAGTGCAAATCCACTTTTAGTAGTGGCTAACAGTAATAACTACAGCCTCACATGCTTTATGCAACAGTGACCCTGATTTAATACTAAATTTAAAATAACTATATTATTGCCCATGAAATGAACCAACGTTTTACAGATCAATACAATGGGGAGTCAGAGGAAACAATCACATTAATTCAGAGATCTATGAGGACATTAGAAAGGACTCTGTAGGTCAGACTATGGAGGACTGTTCAGCTCTTTTCTCACATATTTCTCTATATCTAAATCCTATAAAAAGCTATTTTTCCTTAGTGAAATTGAGTTTCAGCAAAGCTTAAGATATCCTTGATCTAGCCTGTCAGAGCAGAAATGTTTGAGCATGGTAACACAGCCTCTCAGACTGAAATTCCACAGCTGTTTGAGATGGAACTGGTTCACTTCCGACTCAATCAGCAACGTTACTCTTCTAAATGAAATTGTGTTGTAGCAGTATTTCCATCTAAGTTACATTTTTAAAGAGCAATATGAATTCTGTTGTACAATAAAATATCTAATACAAAGACTTAGCTTCTCAGGCATCTACAGAATATCTAAAGTGGACTATGCATGGGTGCAGTTACTGCTTCTTAAAGTAACAGTTCACGTGCATTACATTTTTGTAAATTATTATTCAAATGTTATTTATAATTTATTCTGGCTAATCTAAGATTTAAAGCAACAATTTTGAAACAGAATAGCTATCAAAAAGGAATTTTACATACTCCTTTAATGATTAGATAGGAATCTAAAACACTAGCTTTCCATTGCTAAGTAAATACTACAATAGCCATCCAGTTTTGTTCTATCCTTGGCTGCCTATGGCAACTAGGGGCCATGATCCACCTGATTGTAAATTAGTGCAGCCTCAGGGCAACTGTAACTGAAAATAAGGAAACACCAATATTGCTTAAAGGCAGGTTTGTCCCCCATCTCTGTGCCAAATACTGGAACAAAGTAATTGAGAATCAGGGTTTTTGCAGTACTATTTTAATTATATCCTGAATACATAAATGGATACAAATTGGGAACTCATGTTGGATTCAAAGCTCTCGTGGTAAATTTTTGTTTTGGTCAGATGGTCTTTCTAGGGCACAGTCCAGAGATGTGAGATCTGGATTGTATTCCTATCTCTGCCACACTTTGTGACCCGAGGCAAGATTAATCTTTTTCTACCTCTCTTTCCCCATCGGTAATATGAGGATAAAAATATTCTCCTGCCTCACAAGTGTGAAGATATTCCACTATGTATTAGGCATCAAAACTTGCACAGTAATTCTGCAAGATATTTTTTTGTGAAATTATTCCAGAGATTCAGGGGGCTTAAATTTGGAATGAAGAATTTGAGCTTTTCTATCAGAGGAAGGGAGAATTATTCCAGTGTGACTTTGTGAAATGTATTCTTTATCATCGAATGTAGAGATGGAAAAGACTCATTTGCCGTGCTTGCGTCCTGCTGGAATGCTCTGGGATACTGTTCCACTTTTTTGGTGAGTGGGAATGGCACATTATGGCAGTTCAAGAAGTGATGGAACACAAGTACTGGAGTGAAGCACTCACCCAGTGCTCATTTGGTCAACTTGTCCATCTCGTGGCCAACTCAGGAAAATTCCCTGCAGCATATTCTCAAATGCTTGATCCATTTCCAGTCTAGATGATTAATGCAATTGGACTTTCTCCACTTCCCTTGGAAGATAATGAAGGGTCTACAGCCTTCGTTTTAGGAAACTTTTCCTGATATTCTTTTAGTTGGATGATATCACTAGTAGGTGTCTCTATTTTGAATACCTTTAAATAATTTGTTTTACCTTGTTTTTATACCCGTCAAACACTGTATTGGTAGACTGTGTCATCCTACTTAGTCACTGCAAGATGACATATATTTTAATCTTTCCTGATAAGTCATTCTTTCTTGTTTTGAATTTCTTCCATGTTGTTGAATTATTGTTATAAAGCGTTATAAAAATATTTTTACAAGGAGTTTGGACAGACCGTCTTTCAAAGGTGTGAAATGATGAAAGGCAATTATATTTGTACCTAACCTGCATTCATCCATATTATTTTAATCCTGTGTCATGCATAAGAGTAATAAATTGATTCAATTTTTTCTTATCACTATCTTGCTTGTCTTCAGCCATTGCCTAACTATACTATTGGCGAGAAATTGTTATGAAGGAAGTGATTTTCATATGCTGATTAATATTTTTCAGCTTGGGTTTGTACTAGTCAAAATTATGAACTGTGTTAAGCAAGAACATGTAGGGCAGGAGAAGGATAAATTGCTCTTTAAAATCATTACAAATATGATACAGTACTTCTATGCCACATTTTAAATGTCTTTTAGAAAGCAGCCCTTCACTGGTATTCTTCTTTGATGCACATGGGGGAGGGAAAACTTTTTATAAAAGTCTCTATTTATAGACTTTTTTGTCTCTCTCCCACTCCCAAAAATACACTCTTGCCTAACAATCTTCTTTACCATATTGCTACTGGGGTGGGAAAAAGAGTAAAACAAATGGAGTGATGTAGGAGACAGCTGATTAGTCAGATATAACTCACTGAGGACACTTGAGAGACTGCAGTGAGTTCAAAAGACAACTGAGTTTATTGTGGAGGTAGCAGGATCACACACATCTATAGCTGTAACTACAGTACATACTCATAGCAAATTTAAAGTGTATTATAGGTATCTACTCTATTTGTCTGGGAGGACAATGCCCTTTTTGACATTAATGTTGGTATTAATGAAGGAGAAAGCCCTTCTTAGTAAAAGATATATGGACTCCACAATTTTTAAAACTGATAAAAGGAATAAAAATGAAAGTAATGACTGTACACTGAAATAAAATTGAAAACAAAGAAAATAAACTAGTATGTTCTTGAATGTTTTCAACTTGCCAAAATTATGATACTGTTTAAAAGGCTCTCTCTGTCCCACATATATATTTATATGTTGATATCTCTCTATAAGGCTGAAAATTGTGTAGTAGATTAAGCTACTGTGTAGTCACTTAACAGAATCCTGTGGGGACTGCGGACCCACTGTACTTTAAAGTCCTGAATATGGATCTTGCAGCCATCATGTTAAGAGTCTCCTTCCTGCAGATGCTTTCACAGTTTCAAGAAGCTTCATGTTTTATTACTAAAAACATACTTGAACGTTTCCTATATTCAAATATATCTAGATAACCAACAATACAATTTTAAATACTTAATAAAAATGACAAAACTGCTCACTTAATAGCCTCTCTCCTCAAACAGAGGAACTAAAAGATAATTGGAGGGTTTTCGTAATTCCTTCAAGAGCCTGAACCACCTTGCACTTAGTTCTTACAGTACTGTCACTTTTAAAACGATTGCTCCTGTTAGCATTTTGAAATTATATCCCCTCAAACAAAATCTATGAGTACATTAAAGTACAGCCAGAGTTTAATTAATCTTCTTTTTAAAAGGAGAATATTAAGGTGGATAAAAGACCAATCCTGGTCCTTAAAATACAGATATTTTGATATTATTAGGTCCCAACTAAACAGTCTCCTCTTTTTCTTGTTCCCAGAGTTCTGCTTGACTTAGTTCGTCCTGCAGTATTCCAGAAGTGAATCTACTCCACGGTGGCTCTCTGTTCACCCAGAGGATCCCACCCATCTTTCCCTCCTGATGCTGAATGAATCTTCTCCACAAAATAAGCCAGATAACAATTTCATGTTCCTGCCTTTCTGACTGAACAATCAAGGTATCACTCTAAGACCAGAGACAAAAGAGAAGCTTCTACTTTCATTCTAAGGCTCTGTCTACATAGAGAGATTCTGAGCTTCCCCATGTAATATACATTTGCTTAACTAAGGGACTAATTATTGCTCAACATTTCCATGTGGGAGAACTCTGGTTGAGATCCTGATCCCATCCTCCTGTACAGTGGAGACAACAGCTGAGTGGGGAGGGCTGTTTTATTGTTTATTGGCAGTAATGACTTTGATCAATTAAGGAAAGGCACTGATGGAATTTCAAAAGAATTTTGGTTGGAAGGTTGAATACAATAAAAACCTTTGCAGAAGTCAAAACGCACGCTAGAAGGTGAAGGATGATGCAGAGGAGTGGTCTGCTCAACTAATGGGCTGAAGAAACAGGAAAGGGCAAAACAAAGAAATGTATACTTAGAAGATGTGGTGTTTACAGTGAAATGAGTTTCAACAGTATTCTACCTGAAGCTATACAACTTTCTAACTTTCATACTGCATTTCAATAAAGATCTGTTTTTGAAACTGTAAACACTTCCAAAAGGAATGTTTTGTAAAACAACAAAAATTTTAAATGAGGCATCCTTGAGACAAACAGTAGCCCAAATTTAGACATGTTGATGAGGAATGCGATGGGAATGGAGGGAACGAGGGGGATGGTGCGTATAAATAGAAAGGGAAGTCTAGTTAATGCAACTGTAAAATAAAAAAATTCCCAACCTTTTTCTGCTATTGTCTCATGTCTTCTGAGATGAGCTATTTTATAAAATAAATGGCTATATTTAATAAATATAATAAAATCAAGTAAAAGCTTCATTTCACTTTTCTAAATACCAAGATCCACACTGTAATAAGAAAAATACATGCCAGACAGCACATTTCTCTGGGATAGCTACACATATTAGGTGACTGAAGGCACAAGCCTTCTGGCCCCATACCTCACAATTTACTCAGGTTTCCAATAATCTCCAAGAAATGCACAACCTGTCATGTTTTATTGCTTAATTAGCTACTTGTCAAAAAGTCACACTATATACATTCATTTCTGGTTTTTGTCCACATACTCACTCACTTTTTATTGGGATAATGAGCTGAGGAATGACTGGAAGAATCTTGTTTCCCCCATGTTCCAGCATGTCATGGATTCCTTGCCGAGCGAAAAACTCATAGGGAAATGTCATTTCACAAAGCCCATCAAAAAACAGAGGCAGATAGTGATGATAGTCCAGTTTCTCAATCTCCACCTGAGAATGCACACAGAACAAACAAACAAACAGCATGAGGGTGACTGATATACTTTATGTAGGGTGACCAGATGTCCTGATTTTATACAGACAGTCCCGATATTCAGGGCTTTGTCTTATATGGGCACCTAGTACCCCCCTTCCCCATCCTGATTTTTCACATTTTCTATCTGGTCACCCTAACTTCATGCCACATTCACAAGGAGTTTTAATAAGCAATAATAAAGTCAGTGTGTCACAGTAGGATATCGCCATCTCTCCCATATGGTGTTTGGCACGATGCTGAAATTCTTAAGTCCTTAACCACTAGATCTAAAGTAGAGACCTAAGAAGAACCTGCTCCTGGACCTTTTTTGGTACTGGTGCCACTCAAAACAATCTTTTGTCAGTCTTTTCCAGACTCTCATAAAATGCATGTGTCTAAAACCAGTATGTGAATATTCTAGTAAAGTTAGGACCATATTCCATTATCTTTGCTCATGGTAAATAGGACTTTACAGTATATATAGTTCTTCTGATTCCAGTGGCACTACTTATAGAAAAAAGTACTACTTATTTTGAGTAATAATGGCAAAATCTGGCCTTAATATATTAACTTCAGATGCAAAATGGATCAAATAAAATCTGTTTGATCAATAAAAAATCATAATTTTACAGGAATGCAATATATGTACAGTTTACAGTTCCCTAGACTATTGCCCTCATTTTAATTTAGTAAACAATTAAGAGCAATAACACAGTTTAAGAGAAAGTTATTGAGGAATCCTACCCATTTCTGTTGTCTTTGAATGCGTCTAAAGTTTGAGAGTATCCTGGTGGAGCAATAACCTTACCACCTGTGGCCTTTCTAGAAGGAGGTGGTATCCTCTAAAATAATCAGACTTTCTGCCTTTTATTTCTGTCACCCCATCAGAGGCCTGGTGTTTCAGACTCTCTCTAGCCAAAGGGGACCAGGCTAGAGGCTACTTCCCCAGATCTGTTAATGCGATTCTGAGCATAGATAAGAAAGCTGCTTCATCACTGATGCACTTGCTCTCCCCAGAGATGGAGCATATTGCCTTCAAAGTGCTCCTAGGTCCTACTGGCTCATGAAACAACAGACTGAGCTTGGGGCTGTGTGTTATTTTTACATATTAAATGGTTGCCATTTCTCTGCTAACAGCTTCCAAAACGGACATCAGGAATGGAATTTCTATTTTGACAGAATTTTTAAACTAGATATTTATCTATAGTTGTTTGCTGTGTTGTGGTACCCGTGTTGGTCCCAGGATATGAGAGATACAAGGTAGGCGAGGTAGTATCTTTTATTGGACCAACATCTGTTGGTGGAAGGTACAAACCTGAGCTACCCAGAGCTCAGACACGGATTCCCTTCTCCAGACCTGAAGAAGAGTGTCTGAGCTCTGTGTAACATGAAAGCTTGTACCTTCTACCATCAGAAGTTGGTCCAATAAAAGGACCACCGACCTTGTCTCTATCTACAGGACATACATCATAATCAACTCTGAATATCTCTACTACAGCAGAAACAGAAAACATTTAAATTAAAAAATGATGGACGCTGGCTTTGTTTCTTATGGACATCCATACTGCTACGGACAGTCCTTCTGAGCTGGCAAAAACAACATGCTCACCCAGTCCCTGACAACAGAAACCGATAGGAACAGCAAATACAGGCTCCAGGTGTGACATCCAACTCAACAACCAAACTAGCCACTACAGAAGGAACTATTGGGATATATGTTAAGAAGTGATGGTGTGAGTAGAAAGCCTTCAAGGTTCAGAGATGGTAGGTATTGAGAGATGACCAATAAGAGGCAGAATAATCCTGACATCTGTCTAGGGGGCAAGGAATATCCACCTGACTTTCTTCCTAGACATCTTTAATTTTGTGTTTTCTGAACTGGATGTATCAGTTGGTCATTTGTAATACTGGTTATATTTTCATTGCATAATATTTTTTTAAACTGTACAACAGCCACTGCCATAAATAAAACATTTTGTAACCCTGATCCAGGTCATATAATTAAGGGAAGGACTAGCCTCTCAGGAGCACTCCTGTTCGTGTTACCTCTACACACTACAGTTACATCAGAAGTATATTTCAGCTTTGAGCAGAGTATGATTTCTGGGTTTAATAAAATACAGCATATGACTTTTGGTAAGGATTACAAAACCTCTTCAAACTCATGAACAACAGGAAATATAGATATATCTCTATCAATCTCTCTCTCTCTATTTATCTATGAAGGAGAGATTAGTTGACTGAGATCTTCACTCCTAGTTGGCTCTCAACCTCTCAATGGCTTAGCTTAGCACCACTTTGAAAAGAGCTCTGAATTCTGTCTGATTTCTTGATGCATTAGCTGACCAAGTGAACAGCCAATATTTCTTGATTTTGCAGGCTTGAATGTCCTCCCACAATATGGAAGCCAGAAATATTTTTGCATTAAATTCTGCGGTGTGAAACCTTTTGCTTTTGTGTTTATTGTTTAGCTTTGAAAAGTGGCTATTATATATATATGTACTGAGAAAAATGCAAATTTTTGGTTTATGCTCATAAAATCCTTTTTCTTTTTGCTTCCATCCACAAAAATATTCTGAGTTAAAGCTGCAATTCTTGGCTGAACATGCTCAAAAACTGCCAAGACCTTGTTTCAATTTTGGGTTTCATGAAGAGTCCTCCATAGTTGTTATAAACTTTTTATATACTGGTGGCACTGTATAAATTGTAAGATCAGGATAGAAATAGATTCCAGTGGCAACCTTACGTCTGAATATTCTAAGTTGAGGTCAGGCCTTTAATGGTATTTTAATATATTCCAATAAAGAGTGACCACAGTTTATAAACATCTGTATTAAAAACCTGCAAATGTTTCATGGAAGATAGATAATGCTTGGACTATTTTTCAGATTTAAGTTTTAAAGGAAAAACTCCAAATGAGACAAAAACAACGTAACTAGTTAAAAAAGCAGCTCCTTGGCTCTTCTATCTATTAAATAAGGAAAGCAAGGCAGCTGGACAGAACTCAAGGGACAGAGGTTTGATAATGAAGACCTGAATTGATAAATAAATCATAGGACTTCTTCAATCCATCATACTTAAATTTTATACACTATAAAGCAACCCTGGCATTTAAAAGCTACTGTTTCAGACACACAAACAAGTAGGGCTTACATTCCCATATAGTTTCATAAAATCAATCTCAATTGATTACTTAATGTAATATGTTTTTAGATAACATTGCCCACAAGTTGGATCTGATTTCCTGGAGACATCATACTCAATGGTGTAGTAATTTTAGTTGCGAGTGGATGTGTTATATTTATGTGCACTTCAATGAATGTCTTCATCCACGCACTGCAAGAACTGGGATGCTGGTCTGAAACGGATATTTTTGTAAGGAAGGGAATAACACCTTTTAAACTCTATTGTTTATTCAGCAATTGCCAGAGTAGACAAAGTTCTAAATTCTACACAAAAAACCCACAACATTTAACAACCAGACTATGCAACGCATGATAAAAATGAACAAGCTTCAGCAGAGAAATCTAAAACTCCTTAAAATATCTACAAGTGCTCAGGGAGATAGCACGTATTCCACAAGTGCACAGGTTGGCCAAAAATAAAGATGAGGAGAAGGTGGGTTTATTATACCACTGGTTCTAGGTCATTTAATCAGATGGATGTGTGTATGTGCACCACTATTAGTTAAACACTCTGAAAGGGGTCTGTCAGGGAGCCTATAGTGCTGATCTGTGGAATCATACACTGTACCTGACTCTGGTCATACCTGTATGCCAATGCCAACTATATCATCCAACCTATTACATCATTTATACCATAGTTATCACTTAGTCTATTTTTCTTTATATTTGTTTTGGTAAAATATAGGCAAGAAAAGTGTAATGATGCTCTTTTCTGCTATTCCCCCCCACACTTTGATTGTACTTTCCCCTCCAGCTCCCTCAATGATTCCCCTAAATAGTAGTGATAATGCTTGTGTGAGTGTGTGAGAGAGAGAATACATGAGGCAAACAGGAGACCATGGTCATTGTCAATAAAGGCTTACAAAGAACATACTTTATGATAGATGGAGGATCTGAAAGATTTAGCACCTCTCATCTGTCAGCTCAGAGCTTGGAGGGAGATTCTGTAAGGCCTTGCCATTTATCCAGTTACAAAACCTAAAAGTAATCTCTTACACTATATATGAATTAAACCACTATCTAGGATGTTATCTGAGTTTATTAAAAAACTGCCATTTTAATTTGGTGAAAATCAGCATTTTTTTAAACAGTTAAAAGGAAGACTGACAAAATAATTAAGGGATTATGAATCTCTGCCACTGGCCTTATTAAGAATACCATTTTAAATAGTCTATGGGGCTTCCAGAACTTTGGGTGTTTGGGGGTCACTGACCTGAAAATCCTTCTTTATGTTCATGCTCCCAGTGCAGAATCCCCAAATTTTGCATAGCAAAAAAGTGCATAACTGCTCTGTGTTACTCTGAAATATCCTCTATTGTAATCTGCTCCTTCTGCCCAATTTTTAGTCTTGTGCAAAGCAAGGTTCACTATACTGAGAAGGACAGAGTATGTCAAGAGCTCTCCTATCTTTGGCTTGTTTCATTTTTTTGTTTTTAACATATTTGAGGCAGGGCAGATAGTTGAAGATACAAAACGTCTGATCCAAGTATTGCTTAATTACCCATAAATACTTTGGGTAGTTGGCAAACTGTAAGAGATCTGCCAGATGCTTTAGCATTCTGCCTGTTCCTATTATCTAAGCTATACTTATTAAATATTTATTAATTAAACCACTATCTAGGATGTTATCTGAGATTATTAAAAAAAAATGCAGTGGAAATGCAGTAGGGACACACCCACTTGCAGTTACATGCAGGCTCTCTAACCACCAGCCTCGGACCCCAGAGCAATATCATTCTGACCTGGTCAAATATGGCTAAAATAATGGGTTTATATCTTGTTCACCGCTC